AGGGAGGAATTATGGAGATTGCTTGGACCAGCGGCAAGGGCCAAAGGTACAAAGCCACATAAAGATGGGAGGGTTTAGGGGAATGCCTTGAACGCTTGTGGTGCATTTTAGATGCATTTCCATGCATGTTAAAATAACTGGGACTTCTCCCCCCACAGAGAAACCTGGACCTCTCCCAACTATCTATGACCAAGGAGAGGGCATGCCCCCCCCTTGTTGTGCCCAACCCCCACCCCTAAACAGGGTGAAGGGGAGGATCAGCCCTAGGAAAACTGCCCTTCTATTCTGCATAGGGCCCTTAATTACCTAGGTCAGTTCTGGGCCTCCTTATCAGGTTGAGCTTCCTCTGTCCCATTCCCTCTCTCTTCCTGCTGCCCCGCCCTGCCCCTCCTCCCCTGCAGACTGCACAGTGAGGGTCTGACAGGAGGCAAGCTGCAGTGATTGTGAATGGAGTTTGGGGCACTGGATTCACCATTCAAGCCACAAAGCTGCATGTCGTGCACTAACTGCCCAAGCGGACCTTACTGGCACACACTAGGTACCAGAGCACATCAACATAGTCCAGCAGGGTCACAGTTAGAGCACAGCCCGTGGCTTGGGCAGGGAAACAAGCAACATCTTGGCCCACTCAAAATCTCCATAGCTTGTTTCCTATCAGACGCTCACTGCAGTCTGTGCATGTGCCATAAGGGTGGTGAAGAACACCCCCCAGAGCTGCGGATCTATTTGCTGTGTTTGTCAGACGTGCATGTGTGTGTGACTCATCAAGTATGCGCATGCTTGCAAAATTTGTAGGCTTAAACCTGAATTAGTAATTACATGTAAAAATCAGGAGCATTACAGAAAATTAGGGTGGGTTGGCATCTCTGCCCGCCCCCAAGGAGTTCTTCCTTTTGAGACTATTTTCTTTTTTTCTGTATTATTTGAGGGAAAAACTAGCTAGTTTTTCTGGGCTCTGGGCCAAGATTTTCTTTAAGGTTTTGCTATAGATTGCCTAGCACTCCAAATATAGTAACCAGAGGAAGTGCTTTATGAATACAGTAACTGAATAAATAATCTGTTTCACCTGTGTTAATTTTATTATGTAACTAGTTTAAGGTAGTTTTATTTACATCTGATATAAACACATACCAAGAAGATTGTAGTTGCTTAGTTTATTAATAAACATTGTAGGTTACCCAGGTTGGGATCAAGAATAAAGTCTGAAACATTCCATTCCATTTTTGCTGTCTCATAACTCAAACAGGAAGAATATGGGCAAATTTTGTTTTATTCATCAGTGTAGTTTATCGAGACAAGCCATTTCACTGTTTGGACTAAATGGGCCAAACTTATCTATGGTGTAACTCCACACACTTAGAAGTTACACCTGGAATTATTCTGGTATATTGTATTTCCCTTACTAAGCAATAACAGGGTGGACTATTGTTTAAGATAAGTAATTATTTCAGTTCAATAATTTTGACATGATAAAGCACACAGGTACTGCCAAAATTAATACATCAAATGTATGTGCCTAGGAACAGGTTCCACCTTGGTGATATGGTTCTATACAGTATGTATTAAACAAAACAGGACATGAGATTTTAAGCATGGCTTCACTCTGAAAAGTGACTCAGCAGCCTAATATTGTGAGGTTGATTTCATATCAAATTTGTCCAGTTTATAAGTTAAAAAAAAAAAAAAAAAAAGACAGTTTTTTCCTGTTTGCAGGCACTAGACTCAACCCACAACCTACAAGTCACGCTGGGTTCTTTCCTATTTCTGCATTATCATGATGATAAAATTCTGCAGGCCAAATTCTGCTTTCAGTTACACTTGTACCAACCAGCTATTTTCAAAGGTGTTGCATAGGTGTACCAAAGAGTAGAATTTGGTCTTGTAACTGCAATTTAACAATTCTGTTGATGAAGCATGATCCAGAAGTAAATGCAGCTCTCTCACAGAGCTCTTTTGGCTCTACCACTACTCATAAGAATAAATTCTTCCATTTCTGTCCCCCACCCCAATAAAGCAGATAGTGATCTTGTAAAAATGGCACCTTGGTGTAGTCAATAGATCTGTTCCCTGTTTGCACTGCAAATCCTTTTTCATACTAGAACTGCCCTTTAAATTAGGCAGGATTCTGGGAAGGGGATCTATATTTTATTCACTTTCACACATCCTTTTTTTCTTCTTCCTCTCAACATAAGTGCTCTGCAGATATGCTTAACTTTAAGCATGTGAGTAGTCCACTTTAAAATCAAACATGAACTTAAGTGCTCCTATGAATTAGGGCCTTAATGAGCTTTTGGTAGCAAGAGGTATATATAGCCTGCATTTGGAGAGGGATGGACTTTATCTGTTGTAATAGATCTTTTCCATCACTAACTTCTGTATTTGAATAAAGAAACATAGTAAAACAGAAGAGGGCTCTCAGCAATTAATTTAAGAACCATGCTTCAGTTGCCATTTAGTTTACCAGCTAACATTAGACTGCTATATGTCTATTCGATATAGTATATACTCATGATATAGTTCTCCAACATACCTAATCTAAATTAGCTGATTGCTACTCCACACACAGCACAAACAAATAAATAACAAAAATGAAATGTGAACTATGCAGCTAAGGAAAGGAAACACTCCAGCTAGTATGCACCCCACAGACAAAAAATAGGTACAAAAGAGAAATGATTAAATAAAAGAACAGAATCATACAGCTCTTGTCTCTATTTGGCTTAAAGTCAGTTGCAGACTGTGAATAGGAGCCCTTCCTAGTTGAAACAGCCCTGCAGAGCAGTAACAAAAACAAAGAAAAGCCAGTGAAACAAAATTTCAGCTCAAGAGCCCAGACATTATTCCTTTGTAAAAATGAGAATGAGGAATGCATCTCATTATTTTCTAGCAGCCCTGTGAGAGGAGCCACTGAGCTGGGTTACGTGATATTGAACACGTTATACATGACAGAAAACTCCACATCAAAGACGGGGAGCATGCCAGAGCAATATGTAATCAAAACCTCCTGTCAAGGGGTGTGTGTGTGGGGGGGAAATCCAACACACATACACAGATGTGGAGGATTTGGCACCACCTAGCTATTTGCACATGGTGTGCGTGGAAGGTTCGAGGAGAGCTACTTGGATTGACTTACACATTACAGATATTAACGGAGCCCTGCATCATGAGTATTGCACCAGCAAATACACCTCTGGGAACAATTCCGCACTGGCTGGGGGAACAGACTAAACGACCTAATACATCTTTTCCATAGCAAGTCTTTATGCTTTAAGACTTCCTCCCATCAACTCACAGATTCCCTAAACCATGCATTGCCCATGCACCCTAAAACAAAGACATATGATGCAAGCCAAGAAGCAGAGGGTGCATTTTCTCTCCAGCATTCTCCGCTGTGTAATCTACCCACCACCCCAAAAACAGCAGCCTCTCGGATGCTTAGACTGTCTCTGTATGTGCTTGCATGGCCGGAAAGTCCATCTCATGGTACAATTTAAATATGAAGATGATGCTTTTATCAGAATCACAAATGTATGTCTCAGCCCCTAAAAAGCCATAGGATGTGCTACAACAATACATTAGCAGCAACCTCTCTGCCCTATGTCTCCACCAGATAGCTCAGCAGCGCAGAGCAACAGAGAGGACACACTCGATTGTGCCATCCTGGGCAGATTGCACCCACCTCTGACACAGCCCTGAGAGGGGTGTCTCTTTTGCACTTGCTGGCAACCTTGGCACAGCCCAGGATGTCAGCCAGATATGACCAGATCAAATTGAGAACTTGGGTCGGGAATTTGGGGGCCTGCATGTCTCCCCACGGGGCATGGCTGATGCCAACCGCTCTGCAGGATGGGGAGCGCATGATGGCCCCCGGGGCTCCGCTGCACAGAAAGATGCTCCCCTTCCATCCCCTCTCACTGTCAGGCCAAGTTATCCTCCTCGCACCACTCCTTGCCCCACTTCAGTCAGGTGGAGGGGCTGAGGCTCCCCTCCCTGAGCAGGTATCTGGAGGTAACCACTGCTCACCTCCCTCTGCCCTCCAAGGGGTTTAGGTCTCCTCCCCCAGAGCAGGTCAGAGCCCCTCCCAGCTGCCAGAAGCCCCAGGAAGAGAGGAGGCAGCTCCTCCCTGTAGTGCCCCCGTCCTTCAGTGAGACCCTGGGGCGGGGGGAACAAGAAGCTTTTCCCCATCGCCAACCTGCACCGTACACCCCGGGGGGGAGGGGGAGTTTAGGCGCAGCTCTCCCCCCTCCCTGCAGCTTGCACCCGGGGGGGGGGTTGGGGGCAGCTCTCCCCCCTCCCTGCAGCTTGCACCCGGGGGGGGGGTTGGGGGCAGCTCTCCCCCCTCCCTGCAGCTTGCACCCGGGGGGGGGGTTGGGGGCAGCTCTCCCCCCTCCCTGCAGCTTGCACCCGGGGGGGGGGTGGGGGCAGCTCTCCCCCTCCCTGCAGCTTGCACCCGGGGGGGGGTTTGGGGGCAGCTCTCCCCCGTCCCTGCAGCTTGCACCGGGGGGGGGTTTGGGGGCAGCTCTCCCCCGTCCCTGCAGCTTGCACCCGGGGGGGGGGGGTTTGGGGGCAGCTCTCCCCCCTCCCTGCAGCTTGCACCCGGGGGGGGGGGGTTTGGGGGCAGCTCTCCCCCGTCCCTGCAGCTTGCACCCGGGGGGGGGGGTTTGGGGGCAGCTCTCCCCCGTCCCTGCAGCTTGCACCCGGGGAGGGGGGGGTTTGGGGGCAGCTCTCCCCCCTCCCTGCAGCTTGCACCCGTGGGGGAGCCCCGCCCCTCACTCACCCAGAGATGCCGCCCTGGCGGAGGGAGTCCGTCGGTGCCGCAGCCGCCTCGCTCCCGCTGACAGACAGACAGACAGACACACAGCCCGGCTCTGCCAGAGCGCCAGGGACCCGGATCTGGAGGGCCCCGCCCACTCCCCTCCTGCCTCGCGCGGGGAGCCTCCCGCTCTGCGCCTGCGCCGAGCGGCGCCGGGGCGGGGCCGGCGGGGGGCGTGTCTGTCTCGGCTGCCGCCTCCCGCCCTTCGCCCGCGCTCTGCAAGGCCCTGGTCACGCCTCCTTCCCAGGCTGGGGGTGCCCAGGCGCGCAGCGTGCCCCGGCCTGGGCCCATGGGGCCTGGCTGCCGTGTCCCCGCCCCGCGCCCCGGAGCCCGCGGGCGTCGCTGGCTTGGGTTGCCCCGGCGTTGCGACCTCTTGTGCCGCGGCTCGGGATGGTTGGCGTTTTTCTGAAAGCCTCGGCTCCGGGAGTCCTGTGATTATGTGAGAATCTTGGCTTTTCGTTTCTCTTCAAAAAGTGAGTTCCTAGCCCTTTGTGGCTTCAGAGAAATGTGCAGAAAAGCCAGAAGGCAGATAAAAGGAACCCCAAACTCATGATTTGTTTTTTAAGCCACCTCATGACTGGGGGGGAACTGCTTTTCTGGGTGTCCCAGTATAGAGGTTTCCTAATGGCGGGTAGAGAGCTAACGAGTCGGGTGGTGCTGGTTCCTTAGTCACATGTCCAGCAGCTAAACTGCATTAAAAAAAGCAAAGTACAAAAAACAATTAATATTTTCCTAATCTTGCTTCTCTAGGTAAGCAATTGCTGCACTTGCCATAGAATGTTATGTGATCAAGAGCTTGGGGGGAAGTGACAAAGAAGACTGAATGGTGTAATGCCTCCTAGATGATATCCCCATTAACGTGTGATCCTTGGTTATGACCAAGAGTGGGGCATCCCATCCTAGTATCACACAGGTGCATTGTCCGTGGTGCCAAGTTTTTGGTAAAGCTGATCTATTTATCCTCTAAGGCTTTTCTTCAGGGCTTGGCTATGGGATAACTGAAGTGGGTTTTAGCCCACGAAAGCTTATGCTCAAATAAATTTGTTAGTCTCTAAGGTGCCGCAAGTACTCATTCTTTTTGCTGATACAGACTAACACGGCTACCACTCTGAAACCTGTATTTTACTTACGATGGACTGGGGCTGTGTTATGTAGAATTGGTCCTGTTTTTATTTTGTGGCATTGTAAAGCTCATAGAACACAGCTAGATGCTCAATAAAGTGAAATAAAATGTCCTGCTGGACAATATGGTTGCATTTCCTGAGACCCAAAAGAGAGACAAGGTGGGTGACGTAATATGTTTTATTAGACCAACTTCTGTTAATGAGAGAGACGAGCTTCTGAACTTACACAGAGTTATTCTTCCAGTCTGGGAAATGTACTCGGAGGGTAGGCCTATGGCTGGCCTGCACCAGTTGACTTGAACTTCCAGGGCTCAGGCTAAAGGACTCTTTAATTGCAGAGTAGACGCCAAGCTGCTTCCCAAGCTCTGGGACTCTCCCACCTTGCAGCATGGATTCACCAAGGGCAAGTCATGCATGACTAATCTAATTGCCTTCTATGACAAGATAACTGGCTCTGTGAATGAAGGGAAAGCGGTGGACGTGTTGTTCCTTGACTTTAGCAAAGCTTTTGACACAGTTTCCCACAGTATTCTTGCTAGCAAGTTAAAGACGTATGGGCTGGATGAATGGACTATAAGGTGGACAGAAAGCTGGCTAGATTGTCGGGCTCAACGGGTAGTGATCAATGGCTCCATGTCTAGTTGGCAGCCGGTATCAAGTGGATTGCCCCAAAGGTTGGTCCTGGGACCGGTTTTGTTCAATATCTTCATAAATGATCTGAAGGATGGTATGGATTGCACCCTCAGCAAGTTTGCAGATGACACTAAACTGGAAGGAGAGGTAGATACGCTGGAGGGTAGGGATAGGATACAGAGGGACCTAGACGAATTAGAGGATTGGGCCAAAAGAAATCTGATGAGGTTCAACAAGGACAAGTGCAGAGTCCTGCACTTAAGACGGAAGAATCCCATGCACCGCTACAGACTAGGGACCGAATGGCTAGGCAGCAGTTCTGCAGAAAAGGACCTAGGGGCTACAGTGGACGAGAAGCTGGATATGAGTCAACAGTGTGCCCTTGTTGCTAAGAATGCCAGTGGCATTTTGGGCTGTATAAGTAGGGGCATTGCCAGCAGATCGAGTGACGTGATCGTTCCCCTCTATTCAACACTGGTGAGGCCTCATCTGGAGTACTGTGTCCAGTTTTGGGCCCCACACTACAAGGAGGATGTGGAAAAATTGGATGGAGTCCAGCGAAGGGCAACAAAAATGATTAGGGGACTGGAACACATGATTTATGAGGAGAGGCTGAGGGAACTGGGATTGTTTAGTCTGCGGAAGAGAAAAATGAGTGGGGATTTGATAGGTGCTTTCAACCACCTGAAAGGGGGTTCCAAAGAGGATGGATCTAGACTGTTCTCAGTGGTAGCAGATGACAGAACAAGGAGTAATGGTCTCAAGTTGCAATGGGGGAGGTTTAGGTTGGATATTAGGAAAAACTTTTTCACTAGGAGGGTGGTGAAACACTGGAATGCATTACCTAGGGAGGTGGTGGAATCTCCTTCCTTAGAATTTTTTAAGGTCAGGCTTGACAAAACCCTGGCTGGGATGATTGAGTTGGGGATTGGTCCTGCTTTGAGCAGGGGGTTGGACTAGATGACCTCCTGAGGTCCCTTCCAACTCTGATATTCTATGATTCTATGCAGGGTCCTAGCGCTCGGGCCCCAGCTTGGGCTCCAATGTATGCACCATAATTAAACAGCCTCTTAGCCTGAGTCCTGCTGACCCTGACTCAGCTGGTACGGGCCAGCCGTGGGTTTTTAATTGCAGTGTACATGTTCATATTCTCTGTGTGTATATAAAGTCTGCTGCAGTTTCCACGGTATGCATCCGATGAAGTGAGCTGTAGCTCACGAAAGCTCATGCTCAAATAAATTGGTTAGTCTCTAAGGTGCCACAAGTACTCCTTTTCTTTTCACATATTTCAAGGGACCATTCAAGGTGAAGTGCCTTATTAATACTCCCTCCAGTCATAGGGCAGAAAGAAAGGGAAGGGAAAAAAAGGCAGCTTGTCGAGGTGCTGGCGGTGGTGGGAAGGTTGTTAGTGGGTTATAGTTTTTGTAATAAGCTGTAAATCCAGTGTCTCTATTCAGTCCATGATTTTTAATATCTATAAAAGTTACCATTTTAAACTCCCAGGCTTGTCTTTTGAGGACGTTGTGGTGCTGTGCCGTTTTCCTTTGAGAATGAGGCCTGAGAGGTCAGATACAGGGTGCTCATTTTGTAAAAAGGGTTCACCCACAGGTGAGCTCTCCACAGACATAGGGCTTGTCTACCCTGGCAATTTACAGCACTGCAACTTTCTCACCCAGGGGTGTGAAAAAACAGCCCCCTGAGCACTGCAAGTTTCAGCACTGTAAAGTGCCAGTGTAGACAGTGCACCAGTGCTGGGAGCCGCAGCCCTCGTGGAGGTGGCTCTGCAGCGACCACACAAGCCACGTTAAAGCGCTGCGCGTTGCCAGTGTAGACTAGCCCCAAGACGTACCAACCCAAAGTGGCAACAGACCCTGCCAGAACAGCAGATGCAAAACCTGCAGATATCTCTCCGCTGCTAGAGTGATCAACACCTACCACAACCCACCTTTCAAGGGGTCCTACACATGCCTACTTAGGCATCTGAAGAAGTGTTTTTTTACCCACTAAAGCTTATGCCCAAATTAAAGACTAACAGATTTAAGTGCAGCCGGACTCCTCGTTGTTTTTGTGGATACAGACTAACACGGCTACCCCTCTGATACTTGATGCCTACTGAGGGTAATCAGACATCCTGATATTAGGGGTTTTGTCTTATATGCACAACGATACGCTGACCCCATCCCGAGGAAAAAAAAGTGTTCCAGTTTTTCACACTTGCTATCTGGTCAACCTATGCCTATCAAAACAAATGGTGTACCTCATCCAGCCCAGTAAATGCCCCACTAACAGCTATGTGGGTGAAACCAGACAGTCACTGCACTTGCAAATGAACTCTCACAGAAAAACAATAAAAAGACAAGAATACCGTATCACCTTCTTACAACAATCTATAACCCACTAACAACCCCCTTCCCAAGCAGCCTTTTTCCCCTTCCTTCCTTCCTCTCTCCCCTCTTCCCCCCATGACTGGAGGGTTGTTAGTGGGCCACTTCACCTTGAATGGCCTTGAAATATGTAAAAAGAACAGGAGGACTTGTGGCACCTTAGAGGCTAACAAATTTATTTGAGCATAAGCTTTCTTGAGCTACAGCTCACTTCATTGGATGCATTCCGATGAAGTGAGCTGTAGCTCACGAAAGCTTACGCTCAAATAAATTTGTTAGTCTCTGAGGTACCACAAGTCCTCCTGTTCTTTTTGCGGATACAGACTAACAGGGCTGATACTCTGAAACTTGAAATATGTGTTAACTATATATGCTGAATAATTTGCACCACCTTGTATTTAGCTGTGACACTCTGAGTATGTTTCCCACATGTGAGGAAGAGCTCTGTGTAAGCTCGAAAGCTTGTCTGTCTCAAAACAGAAGTTGGTCCAATAAAAGATATTATCTCACTCACCTTTCTCTCTAATATCCTGGGGCCAACATGGCTACAACAGCACTACATGGGACCCAACAGGGTTTTTGGGACCCCAACCCATCCTGCACCTAGCACTTGTGGATCCATCCTCTCTGAAAAAAATGGAATAAACCCATTGGAACATGTATGGATGGTAACCCTATGCATCATAGTAAGAACAACAGGGAAATGTGCATGCTCTTAGCATTATGTGCCTTTAATAACACACTCCTTAAATAACATTAAGTAACAAATCATCATCCCCGTCTTTGAAGACAACTAAGGTTCTATTGCATCACAACGTTCTTAGAGGGAGTGGGGAAATAGGAGTGTAAGGAGGTTTTCAGAGCAGTGCATCAGCATGATGTCACGATGCTAGGGTGTATGCACCAAAAGTACCAGGATGTGAATGAAGCTGACTCCATTTTTGCCAATAGTAGGTACTTCTGTGCTCCACCCTTCCCCTACCCCCGCCTCCCGAAAAAGGAAAAAGTTGCTTAGATGGAAAGATACATCTGAAGCCAGATTTCAATAGGATCACAAAGTTATATAAAACAGTGATAGAAGAGCCTTTGAGACTATTAACCAGATTGGTCAACTAGCGGGCCCTAAGCATAGTTTTTGTGCACTTAGCCCAGACCCTCAAAGATATTTACGCTTCTAGCTTCCATTGATTTAGGAGCCTAAACACCTTTGAGGATCTGAGCCTCAGTAACTGTGGCTGCAAACAGTATCTTGTTTCTTCCCAGAAGCCAACGTTATACCTGGCTGTCTCCCTGGAACCAGTTCAGCACACTGGGTTTTTTATGCAGTGCAGCTGGCCCTCCCAGTCATGCCACTGTAACCAGTGTGGCCAGTCCTCCTTCCTCCCTGCTGTCTGTGCAGTAGGACGTTGTCCCATATGTTTTAATGCCACTCTTTGTGTATGCTCTGCTGAGGCAGTATGGGATGACTGCCCATATTTTCCAAGAATGCACTGTTGTAGCATGGGGAGACAGATGTCCAAATGTTGTCTAGCCACTGATACAGACAGAGCGGTTACAGTGTGGACACCACTCTAAACCATGTTTTTTACTGGCCCAAAGGAGAGTTTCACAAACTGATTACAAAATTCTGCTTGAGGTAGTTGTGGGGAGAGGGCCTTAGGTTGACCATACATGCATGTTTAAATTTAATGTTCAGCTATTCCCAGTCTAGCACTGTTGGTAGAGAGATTCAGGTTTATTTTATTTTGATTCTGCTGATCTTTAGCCATAAACATCTGTGCAATCCGTGGCCTTCTAAGTGGGAATCTGCTGCTCATTAATTTTCTTCCAGGTAGGGCATTAGAGCATCCCTTCAGAATATTTAAGATGCCCATAGTTAGGTGTTGTCGTTGTGTGCTGTAAGCATGCACCCTCCCTGAGATGTATGTAGCACAGAAGCCAATCCCACTACAAAGAAACAACTTTGTAAGGATTAAGCCACTCATCTGGAGCACCTACTCTAGGTTTCACACTAATTGTGGCTTCCAGCAGCTTGGAGCAGTTGCAAAGGGAAAACACCATGCTCTGTGCAGGCTCTTCATTGTAACATCTGATACCTCATGAACATATCCACAAAACAGCCGGTGAAGTAGGGGAATCTCCCCATCTAAGACGTCTGGAGGTGAGGCACGGAGATTGACTAAAGTGCCCAAGGACACATAAGGAGTCTGTGGCAGAGCCGGGATTTGAACCTGTCTCCTGAGTCCCACTGTAGTACGTTAACCAACTTTTCAATCACTGGCAATGTTTAAATCCAGGTTGGATGTTTTCTAATAGATCTGCCCAGCTCAAACAGTGATTGATTCAGGGAAGTTCTCCAGAAAGGCCAGTTAAACCCCAAATAGCGATGCTAAGATGGAAGAGTGCAAAGGTTAATGAAATCAGGCTCTGCTGAAAAATGTTTGGGCTAAAGCAGAAGATTGGTATCCGTTCCTAGCTTTGCCACACACTGACTTGGTGATCTTGGGAAGTCATTTCCCTCTGGGTACCTCAGTTTCCTTTATCTGTAAATCTAGTGTAATGATACTTCCCTAGCTCCCAGGGATGTTGTGAAACTTAATTCAAGGATGGTTGTTACAGTGCTTTGATGTACATGGATGAATGTTGCGACAGCATTACTTTGGTTATAATACGCAGATTCTCCTTCAAAGAGGCTTGGCAGGACTGAACTCATACAGAGCTAGTGACTGCTCCCCAAATGAGTTATTGCAGTGTTTCCCAAACTTGGGATGCTACTTGTTTAGGAAAAGCCCCTGCTGAGCTGGGCCAGTTTGTTTACCTGCCACGTCCACAGGTTTAGTCGATTGCGGCTCCCACTGGCCGCAGTTCGCCTCTGTAGGCCAATGGAGGCTGCGGGAAGCTGCGTGGGCTGAGGGACAAATCGGCCGCCACTTTCTGCAGACCCCATTGGCCTGGAGCGGCAAACCATGGCCAGTGGGAGCTGCGATTGGCCGAACATGCGGACGCAGCAGGTAAACAAACTGGCCCAGCCCGCCAGGGGCTTTCCCTGAACAAATGGTATCCCAGGTTTGGGAAACACTGAGTTATTGTTTATAAATTGCTCAGCCTTATCTCACCAAACCCAGCTCAGGACATGACAACATTCCAAGCACTTCTTTCTTCCCAGAGATGGAGATGTTGTTTCCTGGTGACAAATAGTCACACAGATCTTGCTTTAGCCGGATGTTTTACTAGAGCAGACAGGCATGGAGTGAATGTCAGGACAGTCCACAGCTCACTAATGTTAGCAGGTCCTGGGCTTGCTTTGCATCTTATGTATTTTACTGTAACTGGATGAATTCCTTCAAACTTGCTCTTCAGACGACTTCACCACTGTGATCATAGAACCGTTGAGCTTGGATACACAGGGGTTAATCTGGTTTCTGCATGCAGGAATTAGGGAAGGTGAATCTTAGGTGAAATTCACCAGGGAAGAGGAACTTTATCCACCAGGGCTTCATCATAAGCAGCATCAGCACTGAAGAATCTGTACATCTCCTGGATGTCCTGGCTCCAGCTAGCTCTGGATCTTCCAGCAAAAGAGAGGTTGCAAGTGGTGGCAAGGGCTGCTGAGATCTCATTTCCGAGGGGAGGAGACATTGTCACCTGGAGTTTGCAGGCTGAATTCCATGCTGGAAATGAATGGGGCCCTATATCTTCTAGCTAAGATGTTCTTTTATAGATGAATTTTAAAAAGCCTCTTTAACAGCATAATGAACATATTAAACTCTGTTTCAGCTGGTTTCCCTGCCACGCGTATCCTTTTGCCTGAACCCAATACCCTGCCTTTGCTAATGATGATGGCAGCACAGCGTTTTCTTCCTGCCACCCTCCTAGAAATTGTTGGAGGTCATCTGTCCTCAAAGAGCAAGCTAGTCTCCTTGTGAAAACAAACTATTCATTGTCTTTTTCAAAACCAGAAAACGAGCTATTTGCCGTCTTTTTCAAAACCAACAGATCTTGTTTTCAAAAGGTCTGCAGCCCAGGTGATTGCAAAAACCTATGTACAATTGCATGCCTGATTTGCATACCTGAAAATCATCTGATTGCTTAAATACTACAGTGTTAGGTGCTACAGGAAATTCTGTTAAGACTTCGGGCAAGCGGTCATGGTAATTGCATCTGCAAATTAGGAGCATAATTGCACACCTGACAACTTAAAGATCCGGTCAGTACTTTCCCCTTTGTCTTCAAAAACAAACCGTTGATCCCACCCTCACTGCCTAATTGTTGTTTGAAACAATAATTGAAAGTCCCATGAGAGTGATTTTTAACGAGCTTCACCGAGCTCCATCAGGGGAGAGAAAGTTCTCTGACCTTCCACAGACTCCACCCCTACAAGTCTCCAACTGTAAATAAAGTGACAACACACTCAATCAGTGAAACATCAGATAACAAGCATTACCTCATCAGAACAGATTCCCATTGGCTTGATTATACTTTGAGGACATGTCAATTTTTCAAAAGGAGTACTTGTGTCACCTTAGAGACAAACAAATGTATTGGTCTCTAAGGTGCCACAAGTACGCCTTTTCTTTTTGCAGATACAAACTAACACGGCTGCTACTCTGAAAAAAGATCAGAACGCTCTCCCTTCCAAATCAGGCCTCAAAGCCAGCAGAGAAATGTAAGGGCTCCAGAGCTGCCTTAGGCAGGTGGGGGGCAGAGTTTGGGGGTGCGGGTTCTGGACACCACCCAAATTTCTACAAACCTGCCACTCCTGTTATTAATCTCTCGTTGTACGGAAGCTGATCCATACCCCTAATAATTTTTGATGCCCTTTTCTGAACCTTTTCAAATTCTAATATATCTTTTTTGAGATGGGGTGATCACAACTGCATGCAGTATTCAAGATGTGAGCGTACCATGGATTTATATAGAGGCAATATGATATTTTCTGCCTTCTTATCTATCCCTTCCTTAATGATTCCCAACATTCTGTTCGATTTTTTGACTGCCACTTCACATTGAGTGTTTTCAGAGAACTATCCACAATGACTCCAAGATCTCTTTCTTGAGTGGTAACAGCCAATTTAGACCCCATGTAACAAAGTAGTTCCTTAGGAGGGCAGATCAATCTTTGCTTGTTGTTGGTTGTTATGACTAGAAAGCAGTAGTCACAAGGTAAAGAAGATTCAAAAGAGAAGGTTCTTCACTGTATTTAACATACAACATCCCTGGGTAAATTAGAACAGCAAATGTAGGAAAATCAGGAGTAAACATAGTACAGAAGGAAAACACTTTATATATAGGGAAGCTGTTAAAAATAGCTGGTAAGGCAAATACATGCTTGTTGGCACTACATAGGCTTGGAAGAATTAGAATTTTATCGATAAGTGTCTGTAACTGTCAATTTTACTGTACACACACAAAGTGACAAACAAATATTTCCATTAATAATCATTGAAATTTACAGATAGGCCATTTACGGTGACCTAAGCAAGCGCGGTATCTAAACTGACACTTTGTCGATATAACTTTGCCGCAAATAGCTCTACACCTCTCGTTGAGGTGGTTTTATTTTGTTGGCAAAGCAGGAGAGTTTTGCCAGTGGAAGGAGCAGTGTAGTGTGTACACCGCCACTGTTTTGCTGATGAAAGCTGCCTTTTGTCGACAAAACTCTGTAGTATAGACAAAGCCCAAGGCTCTGTCCCAGTTCCTGTAGCATATAGTCTTGTACAAGGAATTGCCATTAATTTAATTTTGATCCTAGAAAATAACACTCCTTTCTGATGTAGCTATGCTGGTACAACTTTTTAAGTGTAGCCCCAGCCTGTGTGTTCCCATTCCTTCCAAAGGCTTGTGTTCTCTCTCTCTGTTTGTTAGTGTAGATGACCAACAATTGGAAATAATGACTCCTGGAGCTGAACACCGAGGGAACTTTATGCCTGGTAATGCCTCCTTTTGTGTTGGTTTTTCATAGCATTTGGTGTTGAACTCATGGGATCTGGATTTCTGTCCTGTCATGTGATGGTCGGCGGATGGTGAAAGGACCAGGCTACATTGATGTGTTAAGGTATCACTGGCAGCTGGTTCATAGGTAAAGATCGTCATATAGTTGGTTATGACTGCTGATGCTGCTTGGGGAGGGGGAAAAAGCAAATAAAAAGAAGGGGCCAAATTCATCTTGACTGCAGTCAGCTGTCTAGGGGTCAGTGTGACCTATGGGCCTTTGTTTAAACATAGCTAAGACTCAGAAAAGAGATAATTGGTCATCTACTCTCCTATCCCTTAAATAGCAGCATGGGTCAGTGGGTAGCTCCTTAGACTGGGATCCAGGCGTCCTGGGTTCTGTTTCCAATGACCTTGTTTGTAAACTCTTTGGGGCAGCAGCTGTTGCTTTGTGTGTGTCCAAAGCCTGAAATCACTCTCTCTAAGCACTATGATAAAATAAACAATAATCTAGGGCTGTCAATTGGTTGTTAAAATTAATCATAAGAATGGCCATACTGGGTCAGACCAAAGGTCCATCCAGCCCAGTATCCTGTCTACTGATAGTGGCCAATACCAGGTGCCCCAGAGGGAGAGAACAGGTAATGATCAAGTGATCTCTCTCCTGCCATCCATCTCACCCTCTGACAAACAGAGTCTAGGGACACTGTTCCTTACCCGTCCTGGCTAATAGCCATTAATAGACTTAACCTCCATGAATTTATCCAGTTCTCTTTTAAACCCTATTATAGTCCTAGCCTTCACAACCTCCTCAGGCAAGGAGTTCCACAGGTTGACTGTGCGCTCTGTGAAGAAGAACTTCCTTTTATTTGTTTTAAACCTGCTGCCCATTAATTTCATTAAGTGGCCCCTAGTTCTTATATTATGGGAACAAGTAAATAACTTTTCCTTATTCACTTTCTCTACACCACTCATGATTTTATATACCTCTGTCAGATCCCCCGTTAGTCTCCTCTTTTCCAAGCTGATTAATTGCACTATTAAACAATAATAGAATACCATTTATTTATGTATTTTGGATGTTTTCTACATTTTCAAATATATTAATTTCAGTTACAACACAGAAGATAAAGTGTACAGTGCTTACTTTATATTTATTTTTGATTACAAGTATTTGCACTGAAACCCCACCAAATTGTATTTTTCAGTTCACCTAATACAAGTACTGTAGTGCAATCTCTTTATCATGAAAGTTGAACTTACAAATGTAGAATTATGTAAAAACAAAAAGCATTCAAAAATAAAACAATGTAAAATTTTAGAGCCTGCAAGTCCACTCAGTCCTACTTCTTGTTCAGCCAATTGCTCAGACAAATAAGTTTGTTTACATTTGCAAGAGATACTGCTGCCCACTTCTTGTTTCCAGTGTCACTTGAAAGTGAGAACAGGCATTCTCATGGCACTGTTGTAGCCAGCGTCACAAGATATTTACATGCCAGATGTGCTAAAGATTCACATGTCCCCTTCATGCTTCAACCACCATTCCAGGGGACATGCGTCCATACTGGTGACGGGTTCTGCTCGATAACAATCCAAAGCAGTGCGGACCGATGCATGTTCATTTTCATTATCTGAGTCAGATGCCACCAGCAGAAGGTTGATTTTCTTTTTTGGTCGTTTGGGTTCTGTAGTTTCCACATCGGAGTGTTGCTCTTTTAAGACTTCTGAAAGCATGCTTCACACCTCATCCCTGTCAGATTTTGGAAGGCAGTTCAGATTCTTAAACCTTGGGGTGAGTGTTGTAGCTATCTTTAGAAATCTCACACTGGTACCTTCTTTGCATTTTGTGAAATCTGCAGTGAAAGTGTTCTTAAAATGAACAACATGTGCTGGGTCATCATATGAGACTGCTATAACATGAAATATGTGGCAGAATGCGGGTAAAACTGAGCAGGAGACATTCAGTTCTCTCCCAAGGAGTTCAGTCACAAGTATAATTAACGCATTATTTTTTTAACGAGTGTCATCAGCATGGAAGCATGTCTTCTGGAATGATGCCCAAGTATGAAGGGGCATATGAATGTATAGCATATCTGGCACGTTAAATACCTTGCAATGCTGGCTACAAAAGTGCCATGCAAATGCCTGTTCTCACTTTCTGGTGATGTAAATAAGAAGAGGGCAGCATTATCTCCTGTAAATGTAAACAAACTTGTTTGTCTTAGCGATTGGCTGAACAAGAAGTGGGACTGAGTGGATTTGTAGGCTCTGAAGTTTTACATTGTTTTGTATTTGAGTGCAGTTATGTAACAAAAAAAAGTACATTTGCAAATTGCACTTTCACGACAAAGAGATTGCACGACAGTGCTTGTATGAGGTGAATTGAAAAATACTATTTCTTTTGTTTATCGTTTTTACAGTGCAAATATTTGTAATAAAAACAATATACACTTTGATTTCAATTACAACACAGAATACAAGATATGTGAAAATGTAGAATAACATCCAAAATGTTGAATAAATTTCAATTGGTATTCTATTGTTGAACAGTTTGATTAAAACTGTGATTAATCGCAATTAATGTTTTTAATTGTGAGAGTTAACTGTGATTAATCGACAGCCCTACAATAATCTAATTTCCCCTACCAATGAAGGATTATGTCAAGATAGTGCTGACACAGCAGAAATAGGATTAATCAGAAGACTGCCAGCATGTTTGAAGGGGATAGCGGCTTCTAACCTCAGGCGACATGAGTTATGCTGGGTGGTTTTATCTAATGAAATCTTTTTAGTGCTGTGGGAATCCCAGCTCAGACAAGAGAGGGACTTGCCAAAACACGCCTGAGATGTGCTTACGCTGAACAAACAGAGTGTAAAGACTTGTGAGGATGACTTGTAACACTAATACCCATTGACAAAACTGATCTCCCTAATCTTTGCTAAATGCCCACAGTGAACTGGTTATATTGAGCTTTACATATTGGCCAATCCTAAATGTTCATTGAAGCTTGGAGCTAGGTCCTATCAGTGGGAATGGTACAAGGAGTAGGAATGCTCACACTTAGCTATTGGCCACGAATTTGAATTAAAGCTCTTCTTCTCTTGCAGTACTCAAAGCTTTCCCACATCTGGGAACAATTGCAAACCTGGGGCATATTTGTAGGCCCAGTAAGTTGCTCAGGCAGCTTTAGGTTAAGCCCAGCTGTGATATCACCGAATGGTGGCAGCTTTTGGGGGCTGCCAGAGGTTGCGCATGCTGCCTTTGCCCTGCATTTCTTTTTTATTCATTTTAACAGAAGTGAAGGTTTGACCCTTTATTAATAAATGGTTAATCCTGGGGTAGTAAGTAGAGACAGCTGTAGCACCAAGTTGCACTGAATCGCATCGTCTTCAATGCACTGCATTTAAAATGTTCATGCACATGAGCCAAGAAAGCAAATGGGGCAGCCCAGACTCACCAGTTTCTCCCAGGCAAGTTCCTTAGCACCGTAAGTGCGGAGCGCAGGAAATGCCCCGGCCCTTTCAGGTATCGAAGGGGTAGCCGTGTTCGTCTGGATCTGTAAGCCCTGGTCTACACTAGGACTTTAGGTCGAATTTAGCAGCGTTAAATCGATGTAAACCTGCACCCGTCCACACAATGAAGCCCTTTATTTCGACTTAAAGGGCTCTTAAAATCGATTTCCTTACTCCACCCCTGACAAGTGGATTAGCGCTTAAATCGACGTTGCCGGCTCGAATTTGGGGTACTGTGGACACAATTCGATGGTATTGGCCTCCGGGAGCTATCCCAGAGTGCTCCATTATGACTGCTCTGGACAGCACTCTCAACTCAGATGCACTGGCCAGGTAGACAGGAAAAGAACCGCGAACTTTTGAATCTCATTTCCTGTTTGGCCAGCGTGGAAAGCTGCAGGTGACCATGCAGAGCTCATCAGCACAGGTGACCATGATGGAGTCCCAGAATCGCAAAAGAGCTCCAGCATGGACCGAACGGGAGGTATGGGATCTGATCACTGTTTGGGGAGAGGAATCCGTGCTATCAGAACTCCGTTCCAGTTTTCGAAATGCCAAAACCTTTGTCAAAATCTCCCAGGGCATGAAGGACAGAGGCCATAACAGGGACCCGAAGCAGTGCCGCGTGAAACTGAAGGAGCTGAGGCAAGCCTACCAGAAAACCAGAGAGGCGAACAGCCGCTCTGGGTCAGAGCCCCAAACATGCCGCTTCTATGATGAGCTGCATGCCATTTTAGAGGGTTCAGCCACCACTACCCCAGCCGTGTTGTTTGACTCCTTCAATGGAGATGGAGGCAATACGGAAGCAGGTTTTGGGGACGAAGAAGATGATGATGAGGAGGAGGTTGTAGATAGCTCACAGCAAGCAAGCGGAGAAACCGGTTTTCCCGACAGCCAGGAACTGTTTCTCACCCTAGACCTGGAGCCAGTACCCCCCGAACCCACCCAAGGCTGCCTCCTGGACCCAGCAGGCGGAGAAGGGACCTCTGGTGAGTGTACCTTTTAAAATACTATACATGGTTTAAAAGCAAGCGTGTGAAAGGATTACTTTGCCCTGGCATTTGCGGTTCTCCTAGATGTAGTCCTAAAGCCTTTGCAAAAGGTTTCTGGGGAGGGCAGCCTTATTGCGTCCTTCATGGTAGGACACTTTACCACTCCAGGCCAGTAACACGTACTCGGGAATCATTGTAGAACAAAGCATTGCAGTGTATGTTTGCTGGCATTCAAACAACATCCGTTCTTTATCTCTCTGTGTTATCCTCAGGAGAGTGAGATATAATTCATGGTCACCTGGTTGAAATAGAGTGCTTTTCTTCAGGGGACACTCAGAGGAGCCCATTCCTGCTGGGCTGTTTGCCTGTGGCTAAACAGAAATGTTCCCCGCTGTTAGCCACAGGGAGGGGGGAAGGTTGAGGGGGTAGTCACGCGGTGGGAGGAGGCAAAATGCGACCTTGTAACGAAAGCACATGTGCTATGTATGTAATGTTAACAGCAAGGTTTACCCTGAAAGAGTGTAGCCACTGTTTTATAAAATGTGTCTTTTTAAATACCGCTGTCCCTTTTTTTTTTCCTCCACCAGCTGCATGTGTTTCAATGATCACAGGATCTTCTCCTTCCCAGAGGCTAGTGAAGCTT